TTCCGAGCTGCAAGGTGCCCAGTAGACGATAGTGCAGCAAGTTTAATTAATCCATCTGTGCAAAACTTTGAGTTCATTTTGAGACAACTCTGTAACTCTCTGTGGCTAGCGGAGTTCATTGTGGACTTTAGCCGCATTGATAAGTCAAGTTCATTGTAACAATGAATGACTCCGTGTGCAGTCGCCTTTGTGAATTTCCATGTGATGATGAGCGATTCAACTTGGGGAGGTGCCCTGGTCAAATTTTATATCCAACATTAGCGTTTTAATACAACCCCGAGCTGGTGTTCTTGAAATACATGACAATCCTTGTAATCTTCTTACAGATGGCCTCACAATGAACTTAATCATTTACTTGCTTCATCTGCCTAATCTGGCTACAGTCAGCAATGCCCTACTGCTTGGACAATTATCTTTTGTGAGTTACCAGGGTTTTTTCACAGTTTACACCTCAATTTTTATATGATAATATAAACATAGGCCTGTTCCACTGCATACAATTAAATATAATTTTAGCCCATCACCATCTGGGCCTAAAGTGCTGAAACAGACCCTTGTCTATGGTGTTATATCGACAGTCGAACAAACAATTGCGTACATATTTTGGACAATTTTTATATCGGCAAGTGTTAATCCAGATACCAATATGATATTTTAACTTATTTTATATGGTGGCTCCTTGCCTTTGGTGTGGACTATATTTGGAGTTGTTACTGTGTGATGTGCAATGCAAAGTCAAAACTTCAACCAAGATCTGCAATTGTATAAATGTGGTGTTTACTGATATATGTTGTTTCTGTTTTCACTCTGGTTATATGTGAAACTACTGTTAAGTACTGTATTGATATGAGCCAGTCATATTTAATGTAAAATATTTTGTGGAATAAGGACTAATATATAAAGCAATGCCAATGTTTAAAATCTATTTCTTAAGGTATATTTTTAGTGTGTTTTGAACTGTTAATTTTATAAATGTATAATGCCCTGCTCTGTACTATTTTGTACATTAACACTGCTTTGGCTGTGCTTGTTACATGTGTAATATTTGACTGTGACATTTTAATGTGTTTAAGAGATTGAGCTGTTTTTTAATTTTAAATGACTTGTTACACAATAAAATGAACAAATGAAATAACATAATGATGACTGCTGCATTTTTAAGATTGTGACTTCTTCGAAGCCCATGACGTTAGTCTGCTGATTACACAGCAATCGGTAATTAATTACACCACAATCATTGTCCCCTCCTGGCAGAATACAGGATTTTGAGAACCCCTTATTATGGGGTATGGTATATGCAGTGTTTTTTTTTAATGTGGCGTCGAAGTGACATCAGTGGCGAGTGTTACCTGCCCATTGCCAACCTGTACTGACCATCGTGATGAGGTATGGTCAAAAAGCACCCATGACCACCCATGGAGAGAGGCCTTTATCCATTGGTGGATTGAGAATGGGATTTAATGTGCTGTGTTATTTGCACCGGGATTCACGTGATCCCTGCAGCCGCAAGATGCCGCTACATTCAGCACAAAATGCATTTTAAAACATCAACACGTTTTTGGGTTTATCCGCGATGGAATAGTCGTGCTATGGAATAATCATGGCTGATAATTGTGTTTAATATAACATGGCCACGTGATTCTCTGCAGCCACAAGAGGCCACTACATTTACCACAATATATATTTTTTTGTCAATTCATGGATACAGGATGTGGGGGTTCGATCCTGACACATGTACATTTTGAGTTTGCATGTTTTCTCTCCCCGTGGTCGTGTGGATTTTTCTCCGGGTCCCACAGTTTTTGCCTCCATATTTAGAATCGACGTGCGTATAGCGTAATTGGCTGATAAAAATGTCCACATCAGCCATGCTTCGTTGAGCTATCATTTGGCCAGGCGGCTTCTGAAAAAGAGCTATATAGCTCAGTGGGTCTTACCTGGTAAAATAAAAGTTCATATTCTTAGTTTTTTCGGTAAAGTCACGTTGAAGAGAAACAACAAAATAACAAAATATATATAAAACAATAAAAAATTCTCACGACGTTTCGACCATAACTCAAACGGTCATCATCAGGTGTGTCCAACGTGACTTTACCGAAAAAACTAAGAATATGAATTACTGCAGTCACGAAAGCTTTAAATAAAAAAATAAAAGTTGTTTGGTAGTTTAACATCCCTGAGTTTAATCTTCCACAAAGCTCATGGTCCACCCTAAACCGCATCCGCACAAACCATGGCAGATGCGGATACCTGATGCACAAATGGAAAAGACAACGCTCCAGTGTTGCGACTGTGGTCATCCAGAACAGACATAACGACGCAATTCCCCGATCCACAAATATGAAGGAGACATCAGCGATACACTTCGCTGCTCCTGACACTTTTCTCTGGGCTTGACCAACTGAATGTGAAATTGTCGTTGCTCTGCATCTCCATCGGCTAAATACAAAAGAAGTAGTTTAAGCTTAAGTAATAATCCATAATGGGTTTTTTTGGGGGGTTAGATCGCATAAAAATATAAATGTGTCGTTAAACCCGCCACCACCTGACAGCGAATTAGTAAGATTGGCTTACAGGAGGATGTATCCACAAATCTGGCTGTCGCCTGATGATGCTAGTTGTAATTACCGACGAAACGTCGTACTCGGATTGTAAATGTCGTGGCCTTGCCCTCTAACACACTAGTAACGAATTGGCACGTTCTGTTTACGTGACAAACCTTACCAATTGGCTGTGTCGGGTGGTGGCGGGTTTTACGACATTTACGCGATCTAACCCCTGCAAAAAAAACCTCTTACGGATATCGGACGCGACAGCCTACTATATAATGTTGGCCACCAGAGGTCGCCACGGTCACTACACAGCACCGGAATAATAAATTAAATATACATGTTCAGGAATGGGGAATCGCCGATGGGGAGGCGGGGCAGTTGCGTGACGTGGAGCGGCCACGTGCGCGTGGCGCTGACGTGGCCATTGTTTGGCACGCGCGCACGCACGCACGTGACTCGTGCCTCCGGGTGACCGCGCGCGCGCGCAGCATCGCCGTGCCGACTGACGGCAGCGCAGGGGCGGAACGTCGGAATTTCTCTTTCACCACCTCTGCTGTGGATCAGAATTTCTATAATGCACTGGAGGAGAAATTCCGAAGAGCCTTATAAGCTCTTTTTGTTGTTGTTGTTGCGCAGATGTCCGGTAAGAGGCCGACCATAAATGACGTCACGCACCTAGGGGAAGGGGGGGGGGTCAGACATTTGTGACGATGCGTGACGAGAGGGGGGGGAGGTTTGAGAAATGTGACGTCACATAAAAATGCGCAACTTTAAATAAATATAGACAACACGTTCTACTTAATTAAATAGACACATTGAATACGCACTACAATGACAATAGTTTAAAGCGATTTGAAAAATGTTTTATTTGTTTGGGGGGGGGTCAGAGTTTTGTGACGTCATATTTGAGGGGGGGTCTGACTTTGTGACGCCGTGTGACGATGGGGAGGGGGGGTCAAAAATCGCGTGACGTCATTTATGGACGGCCCCGAATCTCGGAACGTTACAACAACAAATAATACAAAAAGCACGATAGGAGCGCAGAGTTATAGGAAAGGTAAGCACATCATTTAAAAAAACACATACGTGCATCTATGGGGCACGCACACAGATGATGCCACCCGGATCCCCTTAATCAAACCCATCCGTCCACCAGACTCCCAGTGTTTTTTTAGGGTTCCAGAACGTTACCGTCAATTCGCCAACAGATTATAATAAATCATTAGATTTCCTACACAGTACTTAGGATTATAAGTCGCCCTGGAAAGTAAGACGCACCCCACATTTGTGTCCGGTGTCAAAAGACAAACATCTGGTCACACACCCACCGGGTAGACATTAGCCATTGACACGTGGAAATCCAATTGAAATACTTTTCAAATAAAGTGTTGTGTTCCCACTGCGGGGTTTGTTTGACCATACTTCACCACCCAGGTCAGTGCGGGTTTAAATAAATCCAGAGATCATTTACGTGGGAGCATATAAGACCAGTACAACAATGGATGTTTCTACACTGCCCTCTTGGGAGCATTGTATGTTACAGTATTCGATGAATATTGGTTTCCACATCATGTTCACGGCAAATACTGCCTCTTGGCTACCAGGATCATCAGGCGCTACCGCACGTCCCTGGTTTCAATATAGCATTATCATAAGCCATGATCGATCTCCTGCTGGTTTAAGGCCTTCCCATGCATTTACATATTGTGTATGCTGCATACCGTATGCACATCGAGCAATGCGTGTTTAGTATATGCAATGCGGTCGTAAATCAAATATGCTGGGATTTCAAACACTGCTCCGCAAACTTGTGTGCAGACGACTCGTCACTTCGCCACGGCCTTAATTGGACTGTGGTTGTGAGCAGACTGTGCACTTTGTTTTGGGGGTGTTAATAAGTGCCACTGCTTAAAACACGACACTTTCAAAAAATAATTTCAACTTCCCCGACGTATTGTAATGTTCCACGTACTTTTTTGGGGTATTTTGATCAATACTGCACACACACACTTGTCCTCACTGCAATATTACAACAAAATAACATTTCATGCCACCCGTCAAGGCTGTGGCAGTCTGGCACGAACCGACAAAACGGGTTTTAGTTTTAGGTATCCTTTAACCCCCCCTCCCCAACATCCACCACCAACCATTACCCTCACCTCCCCCTCCTACCTCCATCACCTCCCTTCATCACTTTCTCCTCCTCCTCCTCCCACCTCCTCTATCACCTTCTCTCCTCCTTCACCTCTTCCCAACCCCTCCATCACCTCCCCCTCCTCCCAACCCCTCCATCACCTCCCCCTCCTCCCAACCCCTCCATCACCTCCTCCTCTCACCCCTCTATCACCCCCCCCTCCCTCCATCACCCCCCTTCATCACCTCCCTCCATCACCTCCCTCCATCACCTCCCTCCATCACCCCCTCCTCCCTCCATCACCCCCTCCTCCCCCCACCCCCTCCACGTCCACGCTCTCCATCCCACATCCGGGTAACGCTGCGCTGCTGCTGCTGCTTCTCTTGCACGCGGGAGCGGCAGTCTTGAGACACGCATACACGTGTGTACGTATGTGTACGTGTGTTTGTGTGTGTACGTGTGTGTACGTGTGTTTGTGTGTGTACGTGTGTGTGTGTGACCGGGCTAGTTGGGGGGTGGCGTGTGGAAGAGTTGCTGGTAGAGGGTGACTTTTAAAGGGCTGTGTATTTTTAAAACGCATTCTTTTTATTATAATTCTTGCGCTCTCTCTCTTTCTCTCTTCTAAAACACAAAAGTCCACGGCTGGGGCAGCGCAAGCAGAAGGATCACGGCATGGTGGCCCTCTCGCCTCTCTGGATCGCTTTCGCGTTAGCGGCGGCAGTGTGCGGAGGAGGAGGAGGGGGGACACGGGGAGGTGACGACGAGGAGGAGGAGGAGAAGCAACTGTTGTCCGACATCAAGGTGTGCGGCGATGAAGACTGCAGCAGTAAGTCGCAAAGGTGTCGCCTTCGTAGTCCGGAACGAACTTTTCGTTCAAGCAGCGCTTTTTGGAGCGTTCAGCCTGCAGCAGCGATCTCTGTTCGCGCTCGTCGATGCCACGGCACTGCGATGCCGACGACAATCCGCGGGGGCTCGAGAGAGTGATGTACATCACGAGACGAGACAAACGTGGAGAACTCACAAACGTAGACCCACAAGTATACGTGCAGACCCACACAGGTAGGAGACCCACAGAGTGGTTCACACAGTACTTGAGAGGGTGAGATTGTGCTCACGCGCAACCACGCTTCGTCAAAGTTAAAAACCCCTTAACTGTGGTCAGCGATCCTCCAAACGAACATGATTAACATGTAGCCCCCCTCCCCTGGACGTATTTTGCCGTCACTCCGAATAGAAGTCTTAGACAATGTATACATTCGGTACACACACACGCTGCGACTTTCACTTGGTAGTGGCTTTCACCTGACAGCTCTCTGTCCATACCACTTACTCACCCACCCCCCCGCATTGAATAACAATTCACACTCTCAGCGCGTGGTGATACAATTAGTTTATACTTAGTCGCAACAGTATAATAGTCACAGGAGGCTTTGATCTTAGGAGCAGTGATAATGCGAATCGTGTTACTGGTGTTTGTTTAATGGTGAATCTGCCGCACCGAGCCGGGAGGGGATACACAAACCTGTCAACCCCGTATCAGTGCCTAACTTATTACAAATCAATTAAGACCTTATTGGTCAGCCCGTGTCATTATAAATGTCAACGTTCATCCTACAAAGACTCATCACAAAGCAGAAACACAAAACAATAAAACGAAACAAATGGGTTTACAGGTATGATAGTGTAGTGTATAGTAGTGTAGTTTATAGTGTATAATCGTGTAATATAAGGGTTTAGTGGTGTATAGTGTAGTGTATACTAGTGTATAGTATAGGTGGTGTATAATAGTGTTTAGTAGTGTAGTGTATACTAGTGTATAATGTGTCGTGTATAATAGTGTATAGTAGTGTAGTATATAATCGTTTATAGTAGTGTAGGGTATAGTAAGGGTTTAGTAGTGTATAGTATAGTGTATAGTAGTGTAGGGTATAGTAAGGGTTTAGTAGTGTATAGTGTAGTGTATAGTAGTGTAGGGTATAGGAGTGTAGTGTATAGTGTATAATAGTGCATAGTAGTGTAGTTTATAGTAGTGTATATTCGAGTGTATAGTAGTGTAGGGTATAGTAGGTGTTTAGTAGTGTATAGTGCAGTATATAGTGTGTAGTGTACAGTGTGTAGTGTATATTGTAATGTATAGTGTAGTGTATAGTAGTGTATCGTAGTGTATAGTGTAGTGTATCATAGTGTAGTGTATAGTGTAGTGTATCATAGTGTAGTGTATAGTGTAGTGTATCGTAGTGTAGTGTATAGTGTAGTGTATCTTAGTGTAGTGTATCTTAGTGTAGTGTATCGTAGTGTAGTGTATCGTAGTGTAATGTATAGTGTAGTGTATCGTAGTGTAGTGTATCGTAGTGTAGTGTATTGTAGTGTAGTGTATCTTAGTGTAGTGTATAGTGTAGTGTATCGTAGTTTTAGTGTATAGTGTAGTGTATAGTGTAGTGCGTAGTGTATAGTGTAGTGTATCGTAGTGTAGTGTATAGTGTAGTGTATCGTAGTGTAGTGTATCGTAGTTTTAGTGTATAGTGTAGTGTATAGTAATGTAGTGTATCGTAGTGTAGTGTATCGTAGTGTAGTGTATCGTAGTGTAGTGTGTAGTGTATAGTATAGTGTATCGTAGTGTAGTGTATAGTGTAGTGTATAGTGTAGTGTATCGTAGTGTCGATGTAATCGCCAGTTTCGCCTTAATGAGTGGTGGGTTGATTGAGTGCCACCGACGTTGGTTATCACGGTGGCTTTATGGTTGTGTATCGGCGTGTAATATCTCTCTATCTCACGGAGTAGCTTATGTAACAAGTGTGTCGTGTGAGGCCAAGGCCAATTAAGGTCGTTTTAATAAAGGAACAACCCAATGGGTAGGGGGGGGGTACAGCTCTGTGAAGTTAAGTTTTGGTGTGGATATGCTAACGTTTAAAAGTCTTACACGTTCTCGTGTGCGTGTGTGTATATATCACGCGAACTAACGTGTAAATAACACGACACGTAGGCGGCACGCCGCAGTCGCCCACCGTGCTAATCTGTGATTGTGTTTAACTTTATTTACGCATGGACTGTGTACGTCTCGCCGCATACAGTCGTAGCTAGAGACACACATACACACACGCGTACAGGAGCGTCAGATCTTTGTGCCACGACAACACTTTCACATTTACAAATGCGGCGCGTTTAATACATAGTACGGCCGATTTAATGTCAACGTTTACAAATCCGAGTGCTTCTTCCCTGAGCACCCCCCTCCTAAGTCGATGTAATAAGGCAAGTGCTGCGTAATTGTTTTAGTTTTCCCGATGAGCCGTTTGCAAGCCCGTCAACCGAATACGATTTAGACGAAATGTCCTTGGAATACGTAAGGAATCGTAACGCTAATTTCGGCACTTTTAAAGTTTATAAAAAAAAGTTTGATGTTACAAAACGCACTGTATACACAATGTACTGTATGCACAGTGTACAGTGAATACAGTGCGCTGTGGGTACAGTGCTGTACACGTTCGTGTTGAGTTTTGTAATGGAGGCTGCCGGTCTGTGCCACCCTCCTCTGTGTTCAGTCTTTGTGTCAACGCATTGCTGAAGGAACACCCCTCCACGTCTTACTGGCATGGGGGAGCTTGGGGGGGGGGTGTTTGACCATACTTCACCACGCGTGTCAGTCAGTGTTGGTTGGTGAAAGGGCGAGAGGCGGTGGGGGGGACCCGGTTCAGTTATCACTCCACGCTGATGTTAGCCGTGGCAGGGAATCGAACTCAGGTACGCCGGCTTCATAGCGCGCGTGTGTGCGCTAACGCGTCCGCCACCGCTCCTCCGTACTAGTTACACGTCGGCGATGCAACGTGGTCATCGCACCGCGCGCTCTCTCTCGCCCTCTTCCTGACAAAGACAAAGATCCCCTGTGTGGCCTGCAACAACAGACTGTTGGGGCAAGTGCTGTTAGCGTGTAGCGCCTTTTGAAGAAGGCCGGCACGGAAACACATGGGGGGGGGGGGGGGTGGCCAGCACCACGCCCCGGCCACCTTTGTTTCACCAGTACCGCTCCCCACACACGCACACGCGTGTACGCGCTTGTTGCCCTGGAATGCCCAGGCTTTACTTATAGAACAACACGACTTAACAACAACTCACGCTCACTGCAAGGCATCGATCTGCATGAACCACACGCGCGCATTGTCCTTGAAACTGAACTCCAGTGCACGAGAGACAGCCGTCTTTTGTGGCCTCGTCTCAACAGTGTTAGACCAGAGAATGCCAAAAGGCGAACTGTACAAAGGCAATGCAAATATCAGAGCATTACTAGCTAGGGTTGAGCAGTTGTAGATATAGACTCCCATGGTGAACTGGACTCCCGTGGTGAACTGGACTCCAATGGTGAACTGGACTACCATGGTGAACTTGACTCCCGTGGTGAACTTGACACCAATAGTGAACTGGACTCCCGTGGTGAACTGGACTCCCATGGTGAACTTGACTCCCATGGTGAACTGGACTCCAATAGTGAACTGGACTCCCATGGTGAACTGGACTCCCATGGTGAACTGGACTCCCATGGTGAACTTGACTCCCGTGGTGAACTGGACTCCCATGGTGAACTGGACTCCCATGGTAAACTGGACTCCCATGGTGAACTGGACTCCAATGGTCAGGAGTCGGGCAAACAAAATAATTCGGTAAAAAAATATTTCAAGAGCCGCAATGCACTGTGGTGGTGAATACGAGACGGTGTGGTCCTTAAATAACGCCACGAAGCAGCACTCCTTAAAAAGCCACCGCATGCGGAGCCGGAGGCACAGGTTGCTGACCCCCATAGCCCTATACATATTGTTAGTTAGATTTAACACCTGATTTGGGTTTCGAACTGGGAACCTTCCGATTGTGAATCATAAAGCATCGTCAAAATGTTATATTTATGGCCTTTTGCCGTCGTTCAACTGCCAGGTGAATGGTTTCCCCACGCCATGTCAGCCGCGAGGGTTATTTGGTCATACTTCCCCATTCTGGTGAGTGTGCGGGTTTGGTGAAGGGGGCCACCCAAGGCGGGGACAAACATCGCTTTCCACGAATGTTGGCCATGGTCGGGAATCGATCTTGGGTAGCCAGATTTAGAGGGCCACTGTGCCACCACTCACACATACACTGATAAATTCTACGATAGAAATTTAATGGAAAAGTCACATTGTCATCTTCTTAGATGTGATTTCGAATATAACAAACCGTGGCAATGGTGGTTCAATATTATTTGTTAATCTGGTTTACTTTGAATCCTCTTAAGTACTGGAAGAGCAGTAACCCCACCAACAGTTGTATATTGCGTCGCATCAGCTCACAGGTTGTGCATGCACATTAGAGGGTGGAAGGAATGGGCACAGTGATTCCGTGAAACACCATTGAATTTACAAAATAACGTTTCCAAATTTGCCCAAGGAGGACAATTTCTTGGCATATTTATTGTTTTCAGGTAATAGAAGGTCAAATGCATTTGTGGACCTGTGGCTATTGTTCCATCTGTGACTAGCCATTCTTAAGTATAACCACCACAGCCACCATTAAAAATTACCAAACATTACCAATGAACGAATGCATTAAGGTCGCTTCATACTGACTCCACCAAAATATATCCGTTTTTATCTTCTTATGTCGTGAATGTAATACCGGTACTTTGAGTTAAGTCTGTTTCTTCATGCTTAATAATCTCTTCAAACATTGCAACCAGGTTGGACGACTAAAAATGACTGTGCCAGAGGTGGCCGGGTGACCCAGCAGATCTGAGCACTGAGCTGGCACGCCGGAGAGCCTGGATTTTAATCCGCGCAGTCACACGCGATTAAACCGCGTTCTCAA